GTCGAGTCTGACTCGAATCTTTCCGACGATGTTGGTCGCCGTCTTCTCCGGTCCCTGCGTCTCGGAAGCCCTTCTACCTCCGCTTCTACTACAGGCACGTTTTCCGCTACATTAGTACCTTCTTTCACTTATGCGCATGTAGACCTCGAGCCAGGCCAAGTTGCCCGCACCTCGCCCCAGTCACGTCTTCTGCCGCACTACCATCTTCGCCAGAAGTAATGCCCCCAGGTCCCTCAAAGAAGGCGACATACGTTCCTTTGCCAGACATCGAGATTCACAAGGCGGCCCCGAGCTCGTTCATGACGCCTCCCATGGAATTCGCCAGTGCTCCGGCGTCTGAAGCGTCTGAAGACGTCCTCGACGATTCACACAAAACTCCTAATGTATATATCAACGGTCTCCCACCTAATTTCCCCGAGGATCAGCTTTTCGAACTCGCTGTGCCTTTTGGAGAAGTGAAGAGCGTACGCAGCTTCACTAGACATGTAGGAGAGAAGGAGAGTGGCTACGGTTTCGTTTTGTACGCATATATTTGACTTTTTCCACCCACTTTCACTCATTCTACCTTTCTCAGGTTTGAAACGATTGAGTCGGCTGAAAAATGCATTCAATCCCTTCGTCGCTTCAGGAATTTACACCCCACGTTCTCCAAGGTTCGCTTATCTCACGTTGAACCGGTACCCATTACTAATTTATCCGATACAGCAAGTCCACAAGATCCCCGGAACAAATTTCGCGCAATCCTCCTCGGTCTCCAGCCACTCTGGCTCCTCGTACGGTCAAGCCAACAATCACAGTGACGACGGAACCTTCAAGGCTAAAATGGAGCGACTACAGGACCCTAACAGCACGAACTTGTACATTGAAGGGTGCGTGCAATCTGTTCAATTGCGTAATCCTTGAATGAACCCTCATTCAATAGACTGCCTTTGAGTATTGATGAACCGGTCGGTCGAATCTGAAGTCTTCCAGAGTCGCAAACTGACTGTGATACAGTCCCTTTCCGCTCTCGTTGCTCCGCATAGGATTAAGAGCAGTCGATTCTTCCAGACACGTCTCAGCAACCCCCCGCGAATTATTGCTTTTGTGAGGTTCGTGTCTGTTATAGTTCAAGCAACCGTGGGTTGAATATCCTTGACTATAGGTTGGACACTCGCGTAGGTGCCGAAGATGTTATTGAGCGCCTCCATGGGCGCATGGTTCGTGGCTGGAATGATTCGGGCAGCAGGATATCCGTCCGTTTCGCTGACACATCGGAGCAGCGGGAACTTCGAGTACGATAACCTTTCAATTCTGTCATTGCCCTCCTGACTTTCATTTTAGCGCACTGAACGTGTTGTCAAGGAAGGAGATCAATCCCCGGCCAGGCTGACGATTGCGCAGGCTGCTCTACTCAACCTACATGGGCGTGATCAGTATCGTCCATCCCCCCAAGTGCCGCCGCCTATCGGCCTAAACCGAACGCAGCCCATCGGTATGAACTACGATCAAGCTGGCCTTCATTCATCTTTCCGAGACTTCTCCTCGAACGCCGCCAATTACCACAACAACGATATCGTTCTGCCGCCAGCTGTCAATAACTTTGCGCCGTCAATCAACTCTTCATCCTACAACCATGCCGTCAACGATCATTCCTTTCTTGCAGGCAACCAGGAGTTGACTCCAGCTGTTCTTGCCTTGTTAAACTCACTTCGCGGAAACAATGGTAACGACGACCGCTACTCCAACTTCCAGCCTGCTCCTCGCTCTCGGCGTGGTCTCACTCAGTCCCAACTCCAGCTACTGAATCTTGGAGGGAATATGGGCCTGTCTGACGATGGTTTGAATGCGCCCCAACATCCTATCATCGGGAACGGGGTCGCTCAGGCGAGGAATGGTTTCACTGCGACTGAGGAGTACATCCTTCAGGCGCATGCCGCGGGGAATGGCAGTCAACGGCGTCGCCCGACGAGGCTGGACCTTTCTCAAGCGCAAGCTCAGTCCCAAGGACTCGAGCATTCTGACTTTAGCGTTGGAATGCGCGGTATCCGTACACAAGCCTCCGCTGTCTCCCTCCCTCAACTGCAAACTCGCCAAGAGACGTACCATTCGCCGCGGATGATGGGCAGTTCCCTTCCCGCCCTCCAGGAGGAATTCCAGACGTCGGCCGTCCCGTCGCATCAAAATGGACTCCGAGGTCATTTGTTCAGCCGGAACACCTCCAACGCTAACGGAGCTCGTTTACCTGGTGAACGTGACGCTGGCCAGATTCCTTCGCATGGCTCATCGTACCCTGCCCAGACGACATCTCACGCCTCTTCTCAAACCTCCTCCAATCGCAACACGCACGTTAATCAGCAAGCTCACATCCGTTCTTCGACTCTTCCGCCTCACTCTACTTCAGCATCGACCAACCAAACTTCTCGTCACTACCAACACAGCAGCATGAGTATTCCAAAATCGAGGAATATCGCCTCAGACGTTATTCGCGCGACGACGACGCACCGCGCCCAACAACACAGAACGAACAATTCTATCAGCAGCATCGCCAGCATCGGTGAAAATAACATGTATTCTGACCACAAATATTCGTCTGACAATGGAGTGGGTCGCCATCATCACGGTCATAATCAGAAGGAGGGCGAAAAGCAGAACTTTGATGTTTATTCACACGGCTTTCCCGAACAAGACTACGAAGTCGACCAATCTTCCCCTCCCCTTGTCAGTCCAGCCTTGACGTACTCGTCGCGAGGCTCGGCGGCGACTCTCAGTCCCGCCACACCTTTCATCGGATCGTTCTCCAATCAGCAAGGAGTGACCGCTGAAGGTTCTTAAAACTCTTGTATCGCTTTCTACCAACATCGTCTTCGCTATCATTACGCATATGTTGTATCTTTCTCCTTTAGCAGAGCTTGTATCGTTTTTAAGTCCCAGCACGCACCTACGTACCAACAGTCCCAGCTTTCTAGCAGTGTTACCGTCCTAGCTTTTATGTACGCATGTTAAACAAATACCAATTATAGATGTCGAGTTTTGAAGCTCTTCAAACAGTATTTTATGGTCTACGCGTCCGTTCAATCAACTCAATGCCATATTCTCCGTCTCAGGATTAGGCGGTGTAGAAATGTACAAGATGGGCAACACACCGTCATGCTGTTCCTCTGTGACGGCCCCCATCCGGTTCACCGTTGGCCTCGTTGGCATCGTTGTCCAGCGAGGATTTAGAGTCGTAAAATGGGCGTTTGATATTGAGGTGCTCAGAGGCGTTCGGGCCAGTTTTGGATCACGTAGGTTGAGCATTAGTCGAGATACCATAGTACTCGCGATGCTAAATATGTTATTCGGCGAGAAGAAGGCAAAGAACGTCCTGACTTACACGTTTGTGAATGTTGTGCCGCATCCCCGGAGATATACCTTGATTGGATTAAGACAAAGTTGGCCAACAACACGCGAAGAATACACACGTCGGCAAGCTAGGTTGAGACATCGTGAGAAGCCCATCACTGACCGGTGGCAACTTACGAAGAAAGTCAAGATGTTGGCAATATTTGCCATGACCATGACACTGAAATTTTTTCGCATATGAGATTCGGAGGGCGAAATGATGGTTTTATCTCACCCGAAATAAACAGAACCTGGGGAATAGTAAGTGAAAGGCTCTATTCAGGTAACGTAACGATATTCTTACCATCTCTAAGAAGAACAGTCAACAGATTAACTCCACCTCGACGATTGAGAATGAGAGCCTTTCGTAGCGTAAGATAGAACACCAGCACATCAAACACGAGCATGCCGGTCCAAGCTGCGCCCAAGCCTATCAAGGTACAAGTGTGTTCGAAGCGTGGATCACTTTTAGAAGATAGGAACACGGACGGTAGGCTCTGTGCACCTTCAATATCGAGGAAGACTCTTGAGATAGAGACTATAACATACGCGTCTTTCGAGAGACCAGCCGGGCACCCGACGTAGGGAAGGACGAGATGCACCAGGGCCGTCTTTTTCCCGGAGATTATAGAATACTGTGAGGATGGGTAAATGAACTGTGACCGCTTGTTCGCAGTTGAGACAACATACACAGCCGATTGCTACCACGGCGAAGGCCACTGATACTTGGAGGAACAAAACCTTGCGACTACGTTCGTATAGAGCATATGTCCGCATAATGAGCATGGCTGCGATGTCGATAAGGAGGCAAACCAGGGCAAAATAGCGTAAAACTCACTGGCAACCACCAGCTGTACGAAGAGAGCGAAGTATTGATGAAAACGTTGCATCTGGTGGCACCTGACCCCATGTGAGTGCGAATTCTCTATCGGGACATGCATGGAACTAACACCTGCGAAAGGTCTTTAGGAGTGCGCCACAAGAGGATTGTCATACGTACTGCCTCCTTATTTGGAGGGAATCCAGTCCAAAAGTATTCCACGATGATAACTGCATGTCCAAAGATGCCCACATAGCGATTAATGTAAAACCCAAGGACGCCAACCGAAAAGTCGCGGTGAAGCCATATCCGCTCGACTTCCAGGCCAAATGTGATGATCCAGTCGTAATACAAGATCGCTGGAGAGAACGAGTTCTCGATACGTTGGACTCTTAAAGAGCAAAAAACCTACTAAACGAGACCAGGGACAAGTAAGCGTTGACAGCGCTGATATGGTTGACAGGTCAAAAGCGGTTGGGTAGACGGAAACTGTTCAGCGTACAAGTCATGATAGTCATCCCGGGCCACTGACATTTGGGAGTGTCAGAGCAATAACATGGAGGCAGAAGCTCCGAAAAATGTGCCCTTGACCCTGGCAGTCCCTAGCATATGATCTACTAGTACACTGATGAGCTGCGGATAAAAGTCTTCAAGAGGCCCGAGGGTGTAAGGGTTTCATGCTAAAGCTGTCTCAAAGTAAGTAGTGCTACCGCGAGTCGAGTCGAGTTCGGTGACCTGGTCAAGTCCAGACTCCAAGGCCAGTCCACTCGTACCTAAAGAGTTGGAGGGATGTCGGCCGTAGCCAAAACCCACCCATGGGCGTTTAGCGCAGTGGTAGCGCGCATGCTTTGCACTCTTCGAATTGCTTGCCTGAGGTCCAGGTTTCGATCACCTAAACGTCCAATTTTTTGGTGTTCCTCTCATTTTTGCGCACGCCGCGTCGCGCCGTCGCCTATAGGGTTGCGCAGTATATTCCCCGAGGCGGTTAGTAACCTCGGCGGAATATACCCCCATTTTGGGGTGTGTTATTAACGGTTAGTAACAGTTAATAACCGCACACGTGATGTAATGTGGCGTATTTTCCCCGTCCCAAGCAAAATTTTCTTCTCAGGCCCTCAGAAACCTCTTGAATGGCTGCAAAATAATCTAATGTAAGTTCTACTGATCTTCTGATGTATGTATTGAGTCTAGTGGCTCATTACCAGCCATCTTGCCTGCAATCACCCTTCTCCCCGCCGATCCCGCCCAATGCGCCCACCCCGCCCCACCTGTTCACCTGACTGCATCATGTGATGGGTTAATAACTGCCCAAAAACTTACCTCTCGAAGGGGTGTTATTAACCTGGTTAATAACCGTTAATAACCGGTTAAATATCGAACGGCGCGATATTATAGGTATCCTGCGCAACCCTAGTCGCCTAGGGTGGCGCAGTAAACCTCCGGGGGTGTTAGTAACGGTATTGATACCGACCCCCCGTGAGGCCTCCGATTCGGAACCGTTAGTAAAGGTTTCGATACCTGCACGTGTTTTTGACACGTGATGTGGCGCCGCGCCTCGCCGCCTCATCCCGCCCTTGTCCCGCCACTCTCAGCTTCTCTCTGAGGGCCAGCGCCATCACGTGAAATGATCACGTGTCGGTATTGAAACCTACCGATTCTTCGGCCAAGGTTTCAATACCGTATCGATACCGTTAAAAACCGCAGTAAACCCAAGGTGTATCAAAACCTAGGGTTTACTTCACCACCCTACCGTCGCCGCAGCCCTAGCGCATTGCGGGCGGCGGCGAGGCCGGGGACGCAGCATTGAGCAAAGTTGCAAACCTATCTGGATTCTGGAGTGAATTTTCCTTTTTAGCTTTTGGATAGCCGGATAGGATCAGACTTGCTCAGAGTCAGAACAATTGTCCCGCGACACTAAAATAACAGCAATCCAGTAATCCAAGCGTCCATAATACTTTCAAGCTGTCCACACCTATAAAGCAAGAAGTTCGTAAATCTTACCGTCTCTTAGTAAGAGTTGCTCAATGAGCTTCATTCCTTCCATCACTTTCTCCTCCTCGAGTCTCTTACCCACCAATTGAACACCCACAGGAAGGCCAGCCATCGATACAGAGTCGTACAGTCTGTATTGTCCCTCTTCAATCGCATTACGCGCTTGGAAATTCTCCAAGTTATCTAGAGCTGCATCGACACGCGTGACGGGCAGAACACCAGAGGATAGATCCAGCTACAAATGGGCGATCTAAGTCAACAAGTAGAGAAAGGCATGGAAAACGGCCTCACAAGATTAAACAAAAATGTATACCCACAAGCCTTCCAGCCTTCCTTCATTCCCCCATGTCGGACAGCAGGTAGGCTATTCGGCACAGTCAAAACGAAATCCAGATCTTGCCCCTTCCAAACATCGTCGAACCATTCCTTCTTATAAGTTTCTCTCTTTGCTACCAACGGCCAGTACTCCATTACGGATTTCTCGTAACATACTTCGACGAGACCAGCGTAGATTTCGTCCCGCTTGACATATCGAATCCACCACACATACAGCTTCCTCATCCAGTGTGGTATCCCGAATATCAACCGCGCTTGGCGCATTCCGGGATCATTGCTCTCCCAGAATCTGATTGGCGCAGTGGCGGTCTTAATCGCGTCTGCGCACATCAGCTGGAACGCGAGTTTCAAGCCCTCATATGGACTAGGCGGTGTAATCGGGACAGCAGTATGCCCGGCACGTTGAACTGAGTCCACGACGAGTTTCAGAGCCCGTGCACACGCCGGTGATGGTCGCACGACCCCGTCATCCCACATCACACCAAACCGAAGCGTCTTGTTCGACAGGTCGACCGGCCTCCACGGAAGTTCCAAGCACTAGATGAATCCATTAATATAGCATTGTAGTAAAACGTCAATATGGAACTTGCGGTATGTTCATATTCCCATGGCTTCATGCTTACGATGGCCCTCCAAAACGTCTCAAGATCCTCCAAGGTACGCGCCATGGGCGAGTATACTGCCGGTACGCCTTCTTGTCCTGGAATGCTCGTAGCACTACCCATCTTGGGCATCCTTCCAGTGGAGCATTTGATTGTATAGACACCCGAGTAGTGTGCGGGTATCCTAACGGAGCCTGCTACATCAGAACCGATACCAATCCGTGCACCACCGTAAGCCAAGAGTGCGGCTTCGCCACCTGAAGAGCCTCCAGGCGTATATGCAGTATTATGAGGATTCTTAGCCACGCCGAACAGGTCTGATGCGGATTCGAAGGAAAGAAGGGTGATAGGGATGTTGGTTTTGACGAATGGGACGGCACCCGCGTCTCGAAGAAGTTTGACAATCGTAGAATCCGTCTTCGATGGTTTTCCAACCCATGCGGATATGCCGCAGGTGGAATCCCAACCTGATATGCCAACTGTCTAGGGTTCTGGTAAGGATCATAGCCGTACGTGTAAATGAAAATGAACAAACATCCTTCAAGCTGACTGGGACGCCTGCTAACGGGCCGTTACGATTACATTCTTTAGCCCATGTCTGAGCCGATAGGATCATGATCTCGGTTAGGCAGTTGGTCGCGCGATGAGCTTCTAGAGATTTCTTGCTGAATGCAACAAGAATGTCGCTCTAAGGAAACGAAGAGGTTATACTGATAAGAGAACAACTTATTCAAGTCACGTACAGGATCCCTTTCGCCTTTCTGAACGCTGGACACGAGCACAGAGATAGGCAAGTTTAGAATTTGAACGTCGGCAGAGGAGAGACTTTGACGAAAGACATCGGGAAGTTCCTTGATAGCCATGACCTGCTCCTGTTGTTTGACGCGACTAGATGAGGCAAAGCTAAGGCTAAGATCCCTGGCGACGATTTACTTGACTTGCCATGCCTTCCAGTGGGGAATGAAGTCAAAGATAGGCCACATGGTGGTAGAGATGGTAGAAAGGTCAGATGTCCTGCAAGCGTCGACGATATCGCATTGTTTGCTTCGTTTTCTCACGTTCAACTATCTCTGGGGACCATTGAAATGATGATAGTTTGAAGACGAGACCGTCTAAATAATAATTACTTATAAGAAAGAGTTCATAATGTACAACAAACCAGCACCCCGAAAATAACAGAGATAACACGGATATTCAACTCCTTGTTTTGGTATCAGTTGGTAATGGTGGTAAAGATCGTCCGCCTAGCACTCTTCCTGCAGGTGAACCTCCACTAGGACCGGATGGCGGCTCCTCCTCTACTCCCATTCCCGGGTCGTACTCGGGCGGAGGTACATACATCGTCTGCTCGCGTATCTGGTTCATCTCCCTCCGTAGATTCTCGACCTCATTCCTCAATCTCTCCGAATCACTGCCGCTCACAGTGCTTCCTGTTCGAGACGGAGAGGTTACAGAGGTTCCACCAGTCGGCGACCACGGATTCTGCATGGTGGATGCGCTAGGCACACTTCGCTTGTGGTTGGGCTGTATCGCTGGAGGCTCAAAAGGCTCCACATGATACTGAGGCTCGTATGCAAGGGGTACTCTTCTGCTAGGGCTTGAGCCGCCGCTAACAATAGGCACCGCGAGTAACTGAGTATCTGAGCCCGGATAGTTGTTGTCATGAAAGCTCTTGAAGTGCTGTTTTTCCGGTTCTCGCGTCCTTTTCCGGCGCCTGTAGAAAAATACGCCAGCGGCTGCCAAGCCAAGCACTGCAAGCGCTCCCACGATACCACCGGCAATGGCACCGGCGCTGCTAGATGACGAGCTACCACCAGAACTACCACCAGAACTTGAGCTATCCGACCCTCCAGTTGGAGTCTTACGTTCCAAGCTACAGAACAACAGTCAGTTACAATTCAAGCGACGAACGAGAATACTCCAACGAACTTGAGCGCAAGTAACGAGAACAAAGCTCCTTGCGCCGGACTGTACGATGTACTCACTGTCAGCGGCTTGATTGGGTAATCGGGGAATTCCACTTACCTCGCCACACCTTCCACAGTGGTGCCGTTAGGAATGTCGTATGTAGTTGGAAACACGCCCGCGCTAGCGTTTGACGACATCTTTGCGAATACACCTGAAATCAACTCATCTCGAAGTGAAGTGTCTGAAGTGGCACCAGCCACAAACATCGTCCAAGCTGGATGTTCAGTCAGAATGTCGGCTAAAACGACGCCTAGGAAAACATACTGGACTTGGCCTGGTTGGATACTGAACTATCATATGCGATACCGTATGTACTACCTGGCTAACGATCAACTCGTTTCCGGTGTAATAAGAGAGCAGCACCCACCGTCAGACTCCAATTGAGAGCCATAGAACGAGTCCTGCGCGCTGTAAATCTAGAAAGAGATTAGTCGAAGCACTGTAAGTTGTTGAACGAAGGAGTACCGATTCATTGATAAGATTTGTTCCAAGTAGACGATCGGCGTAGAGGTTGTAGATCAGGCCCCATGACGAGGAGTCTCCGTAACCAGAAACGATATGTCCATTAACAACGGCGCTACTTGACCATTCATTGATGTAAGATGTGGCATTGCCCTATGCGATAGATTGATTCAACAACCGCATTCACAGTGAAGATCAAACTCACTGAATACAAGGAACTATCATCGCTTTTACCGAGCGCTTCTGCGATCTGAGCCATGCATTTGATACCGATGATTCCCTTCAGTCCAAGGTTGGCATTGTCGATATCATCAGCGTCCGCACTGTAAGTATGGGTCAGCACGTTGTATCAGATGTGAGCACAAACCTACAATCCGGAAGGCGTAGCTTTCGTCGAGATCAAGTAGTCTGCCCATGTTTTGAGCAAAGCGTACTATCGCACGTCGTGAGTTTGTGCTGCACGATGCCAAACGAAACCCATACATAGGACTTGATTAAAGACGCGTCGCCTGAGAACGTGGCATGAGCCCACACCATGAAAAG